CTTCAGTTCCTCCTGGCTAGCATTCCTCTTGTTAATGCAAGCTGTAATGTCTTTCATCAACTCTTAATTTTCACAATGCACACACAAAAACAAATTTGCAATGTTGTGGCGCGCCCGCTACTGATAGTCTGAAGTTGCTCATTGCCCAAATGACAGTTAAGTTTCTCTCTTTGCAAAAGCTTCCCCGTTTCGATTCAGATATGTGACAATTTAATTTGGGGAAATCCAAATATTTAGCTTATCTATGGCATCAAGGGATTTGTGAAGTTAGGTGGAATTTAGGATGAGATGGAAATGCCAGATTTTGCTTTCAACTGTGTTTTTGTGCAAATTCGGAGTAAATCCGCTGAAATTAACATCAGATTGAAGATTAAACCTGGAACCCCATGACAAACAGCAGCAATGTGAGCCATGCGTTAAAGCACATGCATCTAAAGTGCATTCCCTTCAGCAAGGCGCACTGGAAGTTTCCAGGACAGAATCCACAAAATAAATGAATAAATAAAGAAATAAGGAACGTTTATCCAGTGCAATACATGCTAGAGTGCAAACCCCACCAGCCGACATTGAAATCCCACCTCAGCTACCTAGACATTATGCTTTCTTTCTACCTTATGCATGTTTTTGGGGGATACAGCCAAAAAAAGGCTCCAGAATTGATCTAAAAGCACCGCGTGGATACCTGTGCCTGGTGCACTAAGCCAAATCCTTCTTGTTCTGTTTATTACCGCAATCAGTTCAGGGGTCTGGGAGCTACATAATCTTTTATTATGAACTAGAGAGCAGGCTGCAAAAGAGCTTTACATAAGTGCAACGGGGAATACCCATGGGGAGGGTTTTGAACAGTTTTTCCCACCCAATAGCAAGAAATGTCTTCTCTTCTTGTAGCAACATCCGCGCACAGAAGTCCTCCCCCTGGTTAAACAGAGGCTGGACATAAACAAGGATGATGACTTAAGCCACAAAGGGCTTGAAAGATTTTCACGCTGGGAATACTCTCTGTTTAAAATATTTAAAAAAAAATAAAATTGCAGAAAATAAACATGCAGGAAGCCAGGGAATCGCCAGGGACCTCAAGCCCAGGAAAGCGGCTGCCGAGGGGCGCACGGGCCCGGTCCCCAGCGCGGCCGCGAGCCCCTGCGCACGAGGAGGAGCCCGAAACCTTCTGTTCCCAGGTTTGTCCTCCCCTCGGCCTTAAATTGCAAGGAGCTCCAGAGATTATTTGGCCTTCAGATCAGAAGTATTTGGGGATTCTGTTCCTCTCCCACGGACCCGCTCGCTTCTTAAGCTCCACTTTCCAAGTTGGCTTTTTTTCTTCCCCTCCGTGAGCCACAGCTGGAATCAAGGGGGAGATTCCAGATCTTTTACCCCACCAGAGCCATTTTAGTTTGTCCGTGGATTCATTATTTTAATGAAAATGTTGATTTAGCAGCAAAGATAAAGTTCAGCATAAGTAGTTCAGGAAACAGCCCCAAATCAGACTTGGCATCTTTGCCCTCTCCAGTCGCTCCCATCACAAGGCAGGTTAAGCAAAGCACCCGCCGAGTTTTATCTGCTTCAATATTTAACTAAGCACAGCGCCAATCCCATTGAGAACGTGCAGCGCTATTAAAAAGCGGGATCAAAGGGAAGCAAGTTCCTCTCTTTCCAAAAGTTTTCCTCCTTTACTACATTCCAGAAATCCCAGAAATCTACTACTATTGAGACCAAAAATTTTTAAAAAGGGTCAAAGATTTATTGACATGCAAGACAGCATCTTTTTTGAAGAGAGAAAGGTTGCATGATTTAAGCAAAAAAGGTGGCCAACACCTACATATTCTTCAGGTGCTTAATTTTCACAGCTCCATGGGATTCAACTATCCAACTATAAAGATTTGTTTTTATTATATGGACAAGTTTTTTTCACACTAGGCAATTTTCTTCATTCTTCACAAAGAAACTACAAGTAAATATCCGCTCAACACTGAATATCCCGTTTCAAGAGAGCCAACATTTAACATCAGACTTTGCATCCCATAAGGGGCAGCCAGGAGCTCCGGTGTCGGGATGTGTGACCGCTTTGGGAACAGGACTACTAAACAAGCCTGGGGAAAAGCCACATTGAAGCATAACTATGACTTTAGGAGGCAAAAAGTAGAAATAGCAGAATTAAAAGTATATGAGCATACACAGAGAGCGCATTCTTACCAACTCTGTAACCAATTGAAACGTGGACGGCAGGCTAGCACGCTGATTACATTCCTCTCCGCGCCTAGAAAAGTTGTTTTTTAGTGGGTCTGCGGGCAACATTTGCATCTAGTTAGCACTGATATTTTAGCTTTAACCGTTTTCAGACATTCCTCCAGGGTTTGTCTTAAGCACATTTTTATTAAGTCCCCTCTTTAAAAACCGAGGGCCGGTTAGTTTTGACGCGCGTCGCCTCTGACAATGACAATCTTTGTCCCGTCCAGCTGCAGCAAATTTAAGATAATCTCTTTTTCCAGAGGACTTTATTAATCTTCCAAATGAAATCCCATCCCGAGGTAACACAATTATTTCCAGTTCAACCGTTAGTAAGAGTTAAGACCCCAATGGAAAAAAAGGTGCCCAACATCTGGCAGACAGAGGATCCGGAGCAACTGAGCAGAGTTTTGACACCGTCGCGCGCCCAGCTCATTGCGGGGACGGCTGCAACCACATTGGAAAACCAGAAGCAACCACAGGCAGCACAACTGCACAAGCAAGACATCAAGTAGGAAAAGGAGTCGAGGTTATACACCATTTTTCTAAATTAATATGGATTTTTTTTAAGACTAAGTTTTGTTTAAAACTGCTGCTAGGCTCTTAGGGAGGCCTTTTCTCATCTACACTTCAGACGCAAGCAGAATGTGGTTAAAATATGATCCAAGTCTGGGAAAAACAATTTGCGAGGACAGAACAAAGAAGCTGAACATGTTTTCCTAACAGAGAAGCCATTTATAAGCACAAAAATGGCTTTAACCCAAGCGCAGATTTTTGGGAAAGAAAGAATATTGGTGACGACCCCCCAGCTCTCACTTGCTAAAAGCAGCAGCAAAGTCGCCTGCAGAAACGTCACGTCACCCCTCGCGAGCGCCGCGGCCGCTTCCCGCGCGCCGCGGCGGAGCCGGCGTCCCCGTGGGACGCAGCCGCTCACGGGCCCACGTGTCATGGCCACCCGAGGCACCCGCACGTCCATCCACGAGCCCGAGCGCAGGCGGGGAACCCAGGGGCCACCTGGGGTTTTGCAGGCTGCGAGACCCGCGGTGGCCCCGCCCGCGCGGGCGGGCCCTGCCGCGGCAGCGTGCGGAGCGCCCGAGGCCCCGCGCGGACACGGAGCCCAACCTGGGGCCTCTGCGTCATCGGCGAAGGGGGAACCGTCGCTCCAGTTACGTGGTAATGAACATAAAAGATACCGCTGATTTAGCAAAGAGACACCGCGGATACAGCCCTGGCGTGATAAGCGTTATTATACGTTAACCAAGTCTTATCTCCAAGCACTAGGAGAAAACCTTTTTCTTGGAAAAGGAAGGGCTTTGACAACAAGCTTTTGTAGTCACTTATAGACATCCCCCACCGCCCAGTAAATCTGTTTGGGTTATACAATACCCACAACCATAACTGTGCAAGCAGCTACAGCTGAATAAGGATGCGAGACACAGGGTTTGCTGTACACAAAACAGCATTAACCACACGCGAGTAGAAAAACCTGACCTCAGACCACCCCTTTGCTGCCTCTTATGTAAGGAGGAAAAAAAAAAGAGAGAAAAACCCTACAAAAGAGAGAAGTGTCACTAGCTTCTAGCACCAAAGCTCGCACGCAGGCCACATCTTCACCAGAGGAAATTGCTCTTGGTGATGCTTTTGATACCACTACGCCCGTCTCCTTGGTACTGCTACAAAAACACCACCTTGGTGTTTCCTGGATGTAAAACACCCTCCCTTTCACCCCCACGTCCAGGCACAGTCCTAAGCCTGGAAATGAGGGCATCCAGGCTTGAAGACGATGCGCTGGAAGCAGTACCTGACTGGTGAATAAATACACTGGAAAAACGCTACTCGTACAGCACAAGTCTGTGCAGAAAACTTGCCTAAGCCAGGTGAATTCACAAGTTAGAAGCTGCAGATGCAGGGAACACACTGCAGCCCCGTGACGCCGGGCAGGAGAATCAAGACGCGCTTCACAGGCCGCACGGCCAAGAAGCAAAGGCTGCCTCCAAGAAGAGGGGGAAAAATAGGCGCATTAATTAATATTTTTTTCTGGAGAACAATAAACGAGGAACGGTGCTTTAGGAAGAGGGGGATAAAACCCGGAGACGCCACGGGCAATGCGGGAGCGAAGCTCCCGTCTCCCGCAGCCACCATCTCCATCACAGCCATGTCGGCCCGAGCGGAGCCTCAGCAACCGCTAGGGCAAGAGCAGCAGAAAGGGGGAAAATCCACCCGGGGCTACACAATAAGCTGAGAAAGAAACACAAGGTTAACGAGGTTTGCAGAAATTACTGTTCTGGGGGTGGGCTGGGTTTTGCTTGCGTTCTTGTTTGGGTTTTTTGATCTCATAAACGCAAGGAAACCTCCTGGAAGGCGAACCTTCCCCCTGCAGTATTTGCAACCCAAATATTGCAGCACTGAGCTAATTCAGGAGCGCTGGCAACCAGAGCGGCTACCAGAGCCATCAGCTCAGGGAGGGGAGCAGCAAAAAAAACGGAGAACGAGCTAAATTTAGTGCAATATTAACAGATTAACTCTCTTCTGCCGAAAGGGAGTATTTAGTATTTTCAGTGTTTTAGATGTTCTCAAGGCGAGCGGGCAGCGCGGCCGCGCAGGCCCGGGGGGCTCCCGGGGAAGCTGCTGGCCCCGCTCCCCGAGCAGGGGGTGCCCTGAGCCCCTTGGGGGATCCCCAAAAAGCGGGGGAAGGGGGCGAACACCCCCGGGGGGAGGGGGGAACCCCAGCTTTGGCTGGGGAGGGGGATGCGGCTTTCTCCTCCCAGGGCCCCACTCACTTTCTCTTGTACTCGTCGCGCTCCCGCTTCACTTTGGCGAGCACGTTGTAGAGCGCGCGGATCTCCGGCGTGATGGTGTCGATCTGGACGCCGACGCCGTCCGGGTGGAGCCAGGAGACGCCGGGGCCCTGCAGGGTCTCCAGGGCGCCGCC